GCCCATAAGAGCCTGCTGGCTAAATCCACTCTCAGCCTGCCCTGACTAAGGTCCGGCATTCCCAATATTCCACCCTCCTTGTTCCCAGTCACAGGGGGATCCTGTTTCTGAAACAGTGTTTGATCCATGACTCCTGATTCCCAACACGGGTCAGAATCGGTCTGGTGACAGAGGCTTTCGTTGTCTCCCCTGTATATGACACCAGCTGGGTTGACCATTCTGTTTCCACAGCATCCCTGGGAAGCCAGTGCTCCCCAAGCACACAGACAGATGCTCCATCCTCCCCCCCCCCCCTCACTGCCCTGACAGTGGGACGCCCCCATTTGTCAGACTGAAGTTGAGCCACAACCTTAGGGGGAGTCCTGGAGACGGGCACCCCTGTTGGTTCAGGGTCTGGTATGGGATTAACAGGAGCCCCTCAGTCATTCCTCTTGCCTCTGTAGCTGGGCAGCCCTCTGCAGTAACTCACTTGTGGGCTTCCCGTCCCATCTCTTTTTGGCTCCTCAGCCATCATGAGTTTCTTCCACACGTGACACACCTCCGCTCCCAGCCCTCTCTTGCCCCCTCAGCCCAATGGCCCCTATTCTGCACCTGATCCCCATTTCTTCCTCCTGCTCCTCTGCCGCTCATTGCACCTCTATGTCCTCTCCCTTTGCTGTGTCACTGGGCCCCAGACCCCTTTCCCCTGGCTCCCCTCGGAGATCTGGGGGCCGGTTGTTGGCAAAAGTTACTGCCTGTCCAGGCTCTGTTCTCCTGTCCCTATTTCCTTTTCCTGCCTGTCCACGTGTGTCTTGAAAAACTGTCACTGCTCGAAAAATCTCCTGCTTTAACTTTTAGGGTCCTAAAATCACTTTCGTTGTTGAATTCAAAGCATCCAGCAATGCAGTCTGAAAAGCCAACGTATCAAAACCAGGAGCAGTTCCTTGAACCATTAGCACAACCCCAGAGGCCATGGCCGGTATCTCCTTCTTAATCACATACAGTTCTGGGGAGTCACCAGGGCCCTGTTCTGTGACATTTCCCCAGCCGTCTGGCTTCCTTCTCCCACTCCCATCCAGTATCAGCAATACCGCTGCCACCTAGTCGCCCCTCAGCACTGCGTCTCACTGCCCAATCAGAGGCACTAGTACAGGCCTGGGCCAGAACCTCATAATCTGCCGGCCTTCACCCCGTCCGGGACAACACCTTCACCATCCAATCCAGACGTGTGTCGTCCTCTAGGGGTCCCAATAATTGAGCAGATGCCTGGTCGTTATCTGGGGTGAAATCGTTACTGAGGTTTCCAGTTTGCCTGGTTTGCTTTGCTGTTGTGCATCATCTGGGTCAGGTTCCTCACTTGTCACCACCCCTGTGATCCCTGGAGCCCCAGGATTGAGTTCTTGTGTCTTTAATTTCCAATCCTGCAGTTCCCTGTGTGCCGGGAACAGCATCTGGGGGTCTGGGCATCCAGGATCCATCCACCTAGTCCTGTTCCAAGTGTCCGCCCAGGTGTCTGTCCCTAGTGCCCACACTCGCACTTCCCTGTACCACTGCTACAATGCCCCTCTGGGCTCCCAACATGCTTTCCAGCTCCTCATTCGCTGCCTGCCTGGGCCGGATCCTTATTGTCCTGTAGCACTGCTCTGACAGCTCCCTGTGCATCTCCCAGCTGCATTTGCAATGCAGAGAGCAACCTAATCAGGCTTTCCACTGTCAGCTTTAGCTGCTCACACTCTCCCGGTTTTGCTTGCAGGGCGCTTGCATTCTGTAATACAGAGGCGGCACTGGCACACTCAGACGCTGTATACTGAGCCAGCGTGCCCTTGACTATAGCCAGATCAAATCTGTTACCCGCCCGTTGCCTTTCCTGGAGCGCGACCAGGCTGGAGAGATTGGTGACTGTTCCAGGACGCCCAGGCTGCTGCTTTCACAGCCTCTTCTTTGGTTTCAGTTTCATGCACTTACAGAATGCTTCAAACCCCTCACATGCAGGATCCAGGGCATCCCTCCCCTGGAACGAGTCTTGTCCCCACAGGCACAGATACCCAGTTAGGAAAGAGAGTGGGATCCTCAGCTAACACCCACCCCTCCTGGTCCCTTCGCGTGATTTCCATTCCCTCCTGTTGCTTCAGGGCGAACATTCTGCCAAGCAGGCGGTGACACTTTGACACAAGCCACAAGTACTCTGCGATTACTGTGTGTGGCTGGATCAATTCGGTCCAAACGATCTTAGGCTGCCCGCATTCTCCACCAAATTTGTTACCCACACAAATTTCTCTATCCTTTCCACACTGTAGGGACACACACCTTTACCCAGGGCTCAGGGCGCATCTTCCTGTGGGTTGGCAGGATCTTTAGCCACTGAAAGAGCCTCACCCAGTAATATCCTCATCCTCTATTGATTGACAATTCCCAAACAAGCACACTACACCTGCTATTCACAGTGTCATGCTCACCTGTCCTGGTACAGGCAGACTTCCCCTGTTGACCAGGCAATATCAGTCTCTCTGGTCTTAGGCTGTGTCTGGGAAGTGAGTTCTTTTTCCAGGTCTTCCCCCTTCTTCTTGGTGTTCCTGGTCTTCCAGCCTTTTGCTTCTTTCCTTCTGCTTCTATTACTTCTGATCTTCTTCTGGTCTCCTTCTTGGACCCCGGTTTATATAATGAAACCTAAGTCCTGCTTAGTTACACCTTAACCAATTAGGACAAAGACACTGAATATGAGTCAGCATAACAAAATGACCCAACCAATCAGACCCCACCACCTTCATTGATTTACACCTGGCAAAATTAATGATCCAGCAGACAGAACAGTTACAGACCAGACGGAGATCACACAGTCTAACAAAGGGAAAGGGTAACGACAACGATCATAGAATGGATCCACAACCTCGAGTATGGAGAAGCAGTTTCTGGCCAGACAGAATGGTGGGACTTACGTTTTCTTTACCCACCTCGAGATCTGTCGCTTTCTCTGGTGACAGTGGGGGGCTGTCAGGACAAAGTCCCCTCCCCGCAGCCTGGTGTGACACTATTTTAATACAGTTTGGAGGGAATGTGAGGATGCGACTCAGGCCTTACAGCTGATGGCGGCTGCTCTTCAGTCTGGCTGCAGACGGCGGTTTTGACTCAGGCCTAGCACAGGCCTTTCCACATGGCTACCACAAAGCCATATTGTTACAGTGGGAGGCAGTGCCAGGCCCCCGGGGGGTGCGGGGGTTGACTGTGCTGCGGGAAGCTTGCTGGTGAGGAGGAGCATGGCGAGTTGGGGGTTGTGTGTCGGCCACACTCTGGTGTCTGGTTGTTTGCGCCCAGGCTGGCACAAGGAGACCTTGCTGCTGTTTGGGGCTGCTAGCTGGTACCATAAATAAATAGGTGGCTGCAGGGATCTTGGGGCTGCCGGATTATTTCTTTGGGGGGAAATCGGGTTGGAAGTTGGTGACCAGCGTAACTCACTGCTGCTGGCAGGCGTCGCCGAGGACCGTGTACACGGCACCTAGGAGTAGGGACGGCAGCCGCATTCGCCCCGGACTCCTGGTCAGCTGCTGGACGGGTCGGGGCACTAACAAACCGTCCGCCCTTGGACCCTGGGGCAGGGACCAGCTTCCTGTGCTGGTCGCCGCCGCTAGCTCCCTCGCCCCCAGCTCCCTCTGCCTGCGTGCTCTGCAGAGCCAGTGGCTGGGAGGCTCCCCCTGCTCCTGCTCGTGCCTTTGCCGCCCTGGCCAGCTGGCTGCCCCATGCTAGGTCCAGGCCCGTTAATCCGCAGGCAGGTGGCTCCCAGATGCGCTGCTGAGGCGACCGTCCAGGTGCGTTTGCCCCCTCGGCCCTGCCCTGCCCTGGCGAGCAGGAGACGGGCCGGGGGGACTGATCCTGCTCCGCACTCACCCCCAGCAGCCTGTTCCCCGGGGCGGGGCCTGGCTCCCCCCTCGGGGTGTTGCAACCAGGCACGTGGGGCTCAGAACCTCTCAGGTTGTTCCCACCGCCCCTCCCTTCCCACCCGGCCAGGGCGCTTTGACTAGCCCAGGGCCCCGCCTTGGACCCGGCGCCCCATCTCCCCCCTCCCACGGCCCCACGCATGAGCACTCGCCTCTGGGGACTGCCAGCATGGGCTCTGGGCGTCCTCGGAACCCGAGTCACACGGGGGGGCTCCTCCGAACCGAC